CGTGCGCATCGCTCCCGTTTCTTTTATTACTGGGGCTCCTGCTGCCTTCGGGAAAAGCTCAATTCCTCTGGGGTGAGTCAGGAGGACTGAGGCGCAGTGGACGGAGGAGCAGCGGGGAGGCGCGGCGTGGGCTGCCCCGCTCGCCCGGCCGTGCCCCGGGTGCGTGGGCAGCGCGCAGCCTGCGGGGGCTCGGCCGCGGCTCTGCTGGGCTGCGGGAGCGCTGGCACCAAGGGCAGGCAGCGGCTGCCGAGGGCTGCGCCGCTGCTTCCTTCCCTCCGCGGGTACCTGCGGGGAGAAAGTTGGATGAAGCGGCAGGCGGGGGTGGGTGTTGGTAGGCAGGCGAGGGGAGGGGTGTGTACAGGGAAGCAGACGCATGCACCCCCCTCCCCATTCCCCCCCTTTCCCTAAATACTTTCCTTTTATAAACGTGCTGATCCCTTTTCTTCTCCTTCTGCTTTTTCTTCTCTTCTGCATATAGGGAAAAGTTTGAAGACTCTTATGTCCAAAGGAATCTTACAGGTACATCCTCCAATCTGTGATTGCCCTGGGTGTCGAATTTCGTCTCCAGTGGTAAGATTATTGTTAAACTATGTGCTTTAGCTAAGACATCTTCCCTCTCCTCTGCCTCCTTCCCTTAAAAAAAAAAAAAAAAAAAGATCCTTTTGCTTCTGTGATCATGAAGCCGTGATCTCTGAGGGTCGTCGAGTCTGCCAGAGCCCTGCTTGCACTGTGAGGGTTCCTGCAGTCTGGGGAGAGGCGAGCAGGAGAGGAGTTTGGAAGCAGAGCAGATGGGAAGAGCAGTGTTTGACCTGAAGGAAGCAGCACACAGCGTGATTTTTTGGTTTTCAGGGGGAGCTGTCTGTGCGCAAAGGCAAATCATTCAGGAGCCTCTTCCTTATTCCCACCCCTTCATTTTTGTGTATCGTGCAGAGGTGTAAAAATGGCTAAATAAAGCCAAAGGGAATTATAATTGCACCCACGTGTTAGAACAGCCACAGTTTACAAACCATCAGTGAATTTGGTTAGATGAACTTCACGAGGAACGAGCTCATCTTAAATGCTTACAATTTTAACAACATTCATGTCGCAGGTCACAGTTATGGCTTTTAGAGATCTTTCCTTCCCAACTTCTGAGTTCCTTGTATATTCCGCTGTCTTACCTTTATCCTGAGACTTTCAAAATCTCTCATCAGCATCTTCATGGAAAAGATGTTGATGCTGTAAATAAAAAGCTGCTGAAATCATAGTAAAGTACGGCTTTTAAACAGTTCATCATGTATAAAAATAACCATAAAGTACAATAACATCTAACCAAGAGGACAAAGCTGTTGGTTTGGTGAACTAAAGCAGGTCTTGGTTTGAAAGAACAACCATGACTTAAAACACTGCCAGTAGCACTGTGGAAACAGATACAGCTGAAACCAGTCTTATTTTAAAAAAATTTTTAATTGCTTCTTTGGGGTCAAGTGGACAATCTCTGTCCACATGCAGTGTCTTTATGGTTCTGCACAAAAGATAGAATTGTGAGTTTGTTTCATTCCTGGGTAGTATCTCTGTGCCTGGATGGTTATATCCACATTCCACATTCCCATGGGAAGGGGCTCAGAACAATAATCAGAGTCACATGAATTAAATGTGAAGGTGTCTTGCCTGTGTGCTGTGAGCAGCAGTCTGTGCCACTGATTCTGCTGCAGCATCGCCGCGGTGGTTTAAACGGGGTGGACTGAAACCTGGCTGTTCCTCTGGGTTGATGGGGCAGGGTGTGCTGTGGTGTGATCAGCTTCCTCCAGCTTGGAGTTTGGCATGTGCTTTGGTTAAAAATCGTGCAGATCAGAGCCAACAACCTGCGGACCAAAGGGACGTGCCACGGTTGTGGTGGTGTTGAGAAGTGACTGGCCGGGTGACACCGTTTGCTGGTGACTTTTTTGAGTACCCAGTTGCATTAGTTGGTAGCCCAAAGGCCATACTGTGCTTTCCTCGCAGCAACATCTTTAATAGTTGTGCAGGGATCTGTGCGTTTCCAGGTGGGAAGGGAGCTCTGCGTGGAACAAGTGTCGGGTAGACTTTTTAGAACTGAATTTGAGAAGTTCGGATAGAGGAAAAAAGAGGTTTGGTGTAGTTTTGGGAAAGGAGAAATAAATCGTTCCGGACTTGCCTCCCACTGCTTCCCCAGCTGGAAAGGGGTTTTGATGTCAGAATTTGCACAGCAAGGCCAAACCCCAGTGAGGACTTTCATCAGAACTCTGTTGTCAGTGCTCGCTGCCCTTTCCGTGCTGTAATTCGAACACGTATCTGACCAAAGGACAATTCCACATACTGGACCTGAAATCTTTTGCTAGCGCCTTGTCGTAGCTACACATTCCAAACTCAAGCACTGCCTTTGGAAGAGGGGCAAGCCCAGCTGCTTGTAGGCGTCTGCCTCTCTCCCCATCTGCTCACCGCAGGCAGCAAAGGGAGCGCTCCAAGGGCTCCAAGCCCGGCTCTTCCTTTTGGAGAGGTGACATCCTGTGTATCCCCCCAGCCAGGCGGGAATAGCTTGGGCTTTAATCACCGCATCGATGGCTCAGAGGCCCTGCCTGGCTCTCCTTTAAGCGCTGCGCAGAGACAGGAGCTCTCCGTCCATAAAGGAAACAGCGCCGTGCCCCCAACCCCGCGCTGGCAGGAGCCAGAGCCAGAGCCGAGCCGGGCACAGCCTCCCCCCTCCCCACCCCTTCCCTTCCTCCCCGAGGGCTCTGAGCTCCTCACCCGCTGCGCGGGGTCCCCGCAGGGCAGCCGAGCGCGGGGCCCCCCCCGGGGCTGGCGCCGCGTCCCCCCTTCCCCCGGCCGTGCCCGCGCCCCGGCCGCGGTGCCGGCGGTGCCGGGGGAGCGGCGCCCGCCCCCCGCCGCCCCGTCGCAGCTCGTTTGCTGCCGCAGCTGCAGACAGGGGCCGGCGCCGGGCCCCGCTCCGCCACCGACCGCCGGTTTCCTGCGAGGCTCAGGGGAGAAGAAGGAGGGGGGGTTGGAGCGGCCGCGTCGCGCCGGCCGCCCTGGCGCCTCCTCCCCCCGGGCCGCGGCCGCCCCCGCGCCGGCATCCATCAATCAGCGGGGGGAAAGGCGGAGGGAAGGGAGGGGGGGATGCAGGAGGGCCCCGCGGGGTCGCGGCGAGCTCGTGGGGGATGCGGGAGGATGGGGAGGGCATCCCCTGCGCGCCGCGGGGATGGAGGGGCAGAGCTGTCCTTGTGGTCACGCAGCTGTGGCTGCCCCCGTGCTTTGTGCCCCCGGCCCCCTGCACGGAGGCTTTTCAGGTCAGAAAGGGAAGAATGGCACAGGTCTGGGTCTGTTCAGTTTTACAGAGGCACAGGATGCTAAGCGTTCTCGAAGTTAGGTTGTCAGATGTGAACTAGGGGTTTACCCCTCAAATTTGTGCTTGTCAGTTCTGGGCAGACACAGTTCGTCTTGTTTGGAGCCCTGGATCGATTCCAGTCTATTCTGGTGAAGCCCATTCCCCACAGGGTTCACTCTGACCCATCAAACTTCCCTCTCTGCTCCGAATACCACTCATGCATTCTCTCCATCTCTGCTTTCAACCCACAGCCAGGGCTAGTCTTGAAAAGTGGCAGTGGGCTTTTATAGACAGAGGGAGGGGGGAACAGCTCTAAAATCTTTATTGCTAAATGAAAATAACTTCGATTTGCGAAGTCCAGCATTGCATATCCAGGATAGCAGCAGAAAGGCATTCCTTAAGATAAATTTGATTGTTTGCCCTATCAGGCCGTGTGTGACCCCTACTGTGTTTCCATTCTAGTAGTGCTGCCTTTAAAAGTGAGTTAGGACTGACTGGACATTGTCTGCTCCTCATCCTCTTTTCCCATCTGTTCTTGGACAGGGTGTCAGTTTGAAAGGTGGCCCATGTTGAAGTTCAAGGTTCAGGTCACAGGTGAATGAGGGAAGGCCGAGTTCCCCAAAGCTATTGTGACACGGCCCTATTCAAACAAAACAAAACCCACCATAGAACGATGTTTTGCTTTTTGTCCCCTCTCCTTCATTGCATGCTGAGACACATGGTGGTTGTGCATAACTTGGTCACTGACAATGGTAATTCATTTGCTTGCTGGGGCTGTGTTTTGCTCTTGGTTTGATTTATACGTGATTCTTTTTATTTGCTGCTTTTTTTGCTCTTCGTCATCGTCGTTGTTTTCGTTTGATGCCCCGAGGTTAAGGCGTTAGTCCAAGACTTTGTCAGGGATGGAAAAACTGTCTGCTTACTTCTAAAACTGAATGCCAGTAAACAGCAAAATCTCTTGTTATGTAGCCCCAAGGTTTCTGAGCGTTCTCCCGTTCCGTGTTTTGGGGTGCAGGGGTGGAAGGCAGCTCTGTGTCACCCCCAGCGAGTGGCTTTGGGTCACTCGTGGTGTTTGGCTCTGGCTGGAGCTCCACTCACTGCCCTTCCCCAGTGATGCCCTCCTGGCTGCTCCACAGGTTTCCTGGAGAGCCAGGAGCTGCACAGGGGCAGAGAAGGGAGAGATCCAAATTCAGAGACTGGCCCAAAAGGGGAATCTCTCACGCTGGACATGAGTCTTTCATGAGAACTTTCCTATGAGAAGAGGACTTCGCCTGCTGGAGAATTGAGTTGGCTGCCTGTAGAGGCAGGATTAATTCTGAAATTTCACTGTTAATGGAACAGATTAGAATTAGGTTCGTTTTTGAGCTGCTGTTGGCTTAAGGATTGGAGCTGGAGAACGCTGGGGTTTATGTGAAGGGGACTGTTTTCATAACTTTGCCTTTGTGTCCCGGGGGGCTGCCTTATGAATGTGGAAAAAGCCCCTCTGTAAAGCAGACTTATAAACCTCTTTATCCCCCCGAGGTCTTTGGCACAGTCTGTTGATTTTTATTTGTGGTTTCATGCTGATTTGGCTTGTTGCTTTTAATCCAGCACATTTTAGTTTGGGTTAGTGTTTGCTGGAGGTTTTTGAGTTGGTTGGGCTTTTTTTGGGGTTTTTTTGTTTGTGGGGTTTTTTTCTTTTGTTTTTTAATGGACTTGGCTCAGGTGACTTTTAGCATGTGTGTGCTGCACTGCAGACTTGTGAATTCAACTTGAATTCTTAACGAAAGTTTCTTCAAAATCTGTCAGATTTCACCTTTAGGGAGGAACTGGAGATAAGATATGTCATAGTCTTAAATGGGGTGAGAGACTCACACATCCCATCCAGGGATGGGAAGAGGTGTTGAGTCTGAGTTCACAACCTCAGCTTGCAGGGCTTTGTGATCCGAGGGCAGTGGGAAAACGTGTGTCAACCTTTTCCTTTCACAGGAGAGTCCTTAAAATCAACTGGTTTTGGGTCACTGAGCGCTTCACCAAAAGGGGATTTCCAGGGGAAAACTGGCAGCTTGAAAGGGGAATCAGTGTGGCAGCGAGAGGTGCTCCTAAACGTGTTGTGCTTTGGAAATTATTCCTCATGGTCCACAAACGCTGCTCCTGACCGGGGCACTCAGCAGTTGAGTGGTGCCCACTGTCAGAGGGTTTGGAGGGCGGGTGTTGC